GACTGCCCCCTGGAATGGTCTCTGGGTGCAGTTAGGTATGCCACCGTGTGTAAGTGATTACAAGTAGTCTGTCCTCTTTGGGAAAGGTAACGTGGTAAAGGGATAATGTGAGTAAATCGTTCAGAAGTCCTTTTCTTACTTGAATATATTAAGTGTTTGCCTGAAAATTCCCTTTGATATATTTAACAGTGACAATTTAAAATATACATTCAATTTAGGAGGAATTTCTCCTTTTATTATTTGGTTGCCATTTACCTTATTTCCCAGACTACATTTACCTTATAACCTGTAGTGACAGAGATTACTATGACAAGTGTAGCTGTCATGGGAGGGAGGTTATAATGTGGGATGTGAGACATAATATATATAAAACAATTAGTTCTCTTAAACAAGGCTTTCAAAACAAGAAAAACTGCTGTATTGAGACTTTTATAAAGCTTTAAGGATAATTATTCTCAAATTAAGTTTTCATTTTTTTTCCTGCAAGAATTTTCACTTTCACATTAGGTAAAAAATGCTGAAAGAATTATAAATATTGAAAAAATATATAATTGTGAGTTCTGAGGACATAGAATTCTTTTTAGAAGAAAGTTCTTACTTAAATAGAAAATAAGTGGCATTTCTATAGTAAAATAATGAAGTAGAATACATACACACACATATATACACACACATCTTGTAGTAGAATACACTTGAAGTAGAATACATACACACACATATATACACACACATCTCTTTTTTAAGCGATTATAATTCGACCTCTGTAAAGAATTTGGGAGATATAGAGTAGCACAAAGAAGAAAACTTTGAAAGACCTAGAACTAACACACAGTGATAACCACTCTGATACACACAGCCAGCACTTTTCTTTTTTTTTAAAGCAAGTTACTATGAGCTATTTCCACTTCTGTCTATAATATCGAAAACTGGAAAGAGTATTGCTTTCTCTCTAACAATGAAAAAAACAAAACAAGCTATCAAATGAAAACTTTTCTGGAACCCATCAGGGTGCTGAAGTGACAGGATGACCAAATACACTGAAATCCAAAATGAGACTGGCCCCACCCAGGAGAGAGTGACAGGATGTGCAGAGTCCTGTGCGGAACAAGGAAGAAAGGCTTAGCTCACATACGAGTGAGAAGGTAGAAATTAATTACATCTTAATGGATCACTAATACCTTAGCTGGAGCTAGCCTGTTAGTATGGAACCCATGGTTGTGTGTCCCAGATCCAAGAGGAACTTATATTTACTTGTATGTTTTTTGCAATGGACCTTCACTGCATACTCATGAGAAAGATTGGGAGCTGGCTAAGAGATCAGAGAGGATCATCCATGATCTTACAGGCATGGAGAAGGGAATCAGCCAGTGGTGTGAAAAAGGCATGGGGCCCCACCACCCTGGTTTGGACCCCTCACTCATGCTGATCAAAAACTTTACAGCACTGGAGGGATGTGGGGAGGGAAGCAAACTGTCTTTCTGCAAGGCACAGGAAAAGACCCATTATTTCTACAGGGAGGACTGAAGTAAAAAAACATTATTTCACCCCTGGGAGAATGGCAGAAGACAGTCCTGGGCCCAGGATCTTATACCAAATTCAACTAGTGGCCTTCTAATAATGGGAGAAGGCACAAAACGGTACTAGATTCATCAGAGAGACAAAGCAGAGTGTGGCTGCCACTGGAAGGAAGGGCTGGGATGTTGAGTGAGCTCCACCGCTTAGCACCAGGCACAGAGGACCTGCCTAAGACTGAGCCTGGCCAGGAAAGCAGAGAAAGTCCTTTGATCCTTGCTAATAGCATAGCAAGAAGTAAATAACAAGTGGCAGTTATTCTTGCCCCCTGGGTGATGGGCAAGAATGGAGGGGGGTGTGTGTCAGGGCGGGGGAGAGATCAGTCAATTCTGTACGGTAGGCAGACAGGTGTAGCCAAAAGCTGTGGATAATGCAGAGACTTTATGAAAAACCTTCTGGGACCCCCGCACCCACACTAGGCACATGCTAGCATTAGAAAAAATGGAAATCTATGAAGCACTGAAGGTAACCATAGCAACGAAACCCAAACCCAGTTCAAATCCTGCATATACTAATGGCTCCATGGGAGAAGAGAGATGGCCATTTACAAATATAAATACTGTTACCTCAGCCTCTACTGTTTTATTTATGATAGTCAACCTTCAGTAAAAAATGTGAGATGTGCAAAAAAGTAATTAACAACTCATTGTCAAGGGACAATGAATTCAGCAGAGCCAGACTCAGAGATGTCCAAGATGATAGAAGTATCAGTTAGGGACTTTAAAATACACATGTATGAACAAATAGGGACTTTTAGCAGACAGATGGAAATTATTGGGGAGTTAAATGGAAATGCTTGACATAAGAAACAGTTTTAGAGATGAAGAATTCCTTTGAGGGGCTCATCTCTAGATTTGACATAGCTGAGGTAAGAATTCAGTGAATTTGAAAATAGGTCAATAGAAGTTACCCAAACTGACACGAACCGAGAAAAAAAATGATGAAAGAAATAAAACAAAGTATCCAAGATCTGTGGGGCAGTTCCAGACAGTATAATTGGGGGTCTCAGAAAGGGAAGATAAAACTGGGAAGAAGTATTT